AATATACTTTCCATGCATAATATACTATCCATGTAATAATATACTATCCATGTAATAATATACTATCCATGTAATAATATACTATCCATGTAATAATATACTATCCATGTAATAATATACTATCCATGTAATTATATACTTTCCATGCAATAATATACTATCCATGTAATAATATAATTTCCATGCAATAATATATTATCCATGTAATAATATACTATCCATGTAATAATATACTATCCATGTAATAATATACTATCCATGTAATAATATACTATCTATGTAATAATATACTATCCATGTAATAATATACAACGAGGATAGAACTTAAATTCTATGGGATTTTATTTGCGTTTGCTTTCAAGTAACAGTATCATTCCCAACTGAACCAAATTATGATAAATATTACCCATCTCATAAAAAATGTGAAAAACCAGATTTCAAGAAAATCTAATGATCCAATTCAATGGTAACCAACTACTTTAACCAACTACTGGTGTTAAATTTTGTAATATTAATGGCACAATTAAGCTTCGTTATAAATAGTAATAGCCATATAACTTATAAATTGTGGTTGTCAAAGACTTGTGTACTAATTTGCAATGGATATACTCACCATTAGACAATGAGGTACCTAATAAAGCAAATACACTAGTAGCACCAGAACTATGGCCGTAAACAGTCACATGACCTGGATTGCCACCAAACTGCTGTATATTTTGCTGAATCCATCTCAAAGCTTCAAGCTGATCCCACAGTCCATAGTTTCCGGACTTACCACTCTCAGATTGTCTGGAAAATGATTCCAGTGCTAAGTATCCAAATGCATTCAATCGATAATTGAAAGATACATGTACCATATTGGTTTCAACTGAAAAAATAAAATGACATGATTGAGAAGATAACAGAATAGTTAATTAAATATTATTATTTAAAAAATTCCCATTAAATAACAGGGTTTGTGACATGTGTAACAAAGGTCTAATTGAGGATGAAATGCATTTTCTGCTGGAATGCAACAAATATAATGGAATATTAACCTGGACAATTACCAGACATGTTTCCTGGTACTTGTTAGTTTAGTGTCTGGTGAATATCCTGCACAATTGTCAAACACTGTTTAATGGTATTTCAAACCTGCTAATTCAGGCGTCTGGGGAATTAACCTCAACAATTACCAAGGACTGTTAACTGGTATTTATAACCTGCTAGTTTTCCGTCTGGTGAATATCCAGCACAATTACCAAACACTGTTAACCAGTACTAACCTGCTAGTTTTGTAGTGGGTGAATATCCTGGTACATTACCAAACACTGTTAACCAGTACTAACCTGCTAGTTTTGTAGTGGGTGAATATCCTGGTACATTACCAAACACTGTTAACCAGTACTAACCTGCTAGTTTTGTAGTGGGTGAATATCCTGGTACATTACCAAACACTGTTAACCAGTACTAACCTGCTAGTTTTGTAGTGGGTGAATATCCTGGTACATTACCACTCAATGCAACTAAATCACCACCATGTATGTATACCATCACTGGTAGATTACCTGAAACCATCAAATAAAATACATTGTATAGTGATATATTTTCCATCATCATATTTGGGGGGGGGCTGCATGGTAAGACTGTGTGAATGCTATGAAAGGTAGTTGGCTACCATTAAAACATATGATCAAATTTCCTTGTTTTTGTTTAAATTTACGGTGCTGTTCACAAAACCCAGATAAAAAAAATGTCACAAAAAAAAATCATATGTCAAATATCCATGGTGATGTTTGTGTCATATATTATTGGTTTTTATGGCAAAAATCTCCAATATTTTTTTTAGTTTACACATGTCAATCTTTTGGCGAATTTTGTTATTGCTATTTCAATCCATTATAGTCTATATATTTGTCCAAGACAAGTTATCAAGAATCTTTCCGTCAGTATTCCAATTCAAACAAAACATACTCAGTGATTTTAATGTAATATTATGCACTGGTTTTAATTTGCTTGGAAAATGTAAGTATAGAACTACTTCCATATAAAAAAATTATAATTGGTTTAGTAGCAAACTATAACAGTAGTGTAAACTAGTCAGGTGAATACTTGTTTTCCAGTTGTATAAACAATGATTATTACTCAGTTGTGATAATAATAGTTTGCCGGTTTGTTATACAATTCTAGTAAAATTTAACTTGATTTCATGATAAGCAAATGTTTTTGGACGTAAAATAATTTTGTTTCATGCATGAGTTTACCTGAAATTGCGTGATTTCATCTGACAGGACAAACCAATCAGAATGCTGGGTGGTGCTGGCTGAATGGTTTGTGAATGAGTTAGTGTCAGATAACTTTGATCATGCACTAGATATTTTATGTAACTCGTAAATAAATTTTAAAACAAGAAATTATAATAAATTTTTAGCCCTTGTTTATTAGGTTAATTATCAAAAACCTATCTTAATGGGATATTTTGGCATAAAATTGTGAATATTGCTTTTTTTTCGCTTTTAAGCCCACAACAGAATTTGAACTTGAGGCCAACTGTTCATGCCTAACTTTGAGCAGAAAGTGTATCACATGAATCCACAGTTTTAGCAAACAAATATTTCAATATCAGACTTAAACACTTTACCACTTTTTATTTTATTTGCTCAAATTTAAAGCGAGAGTGTCGTCACCTGCGCATGCACGGGAATTAAGTCCCAAGCGTCAATAATGACACATGCTAAAAATGGCTCATGGGTAGACATTTGTTTGTAAACAATGATACACTAGGCCATCTG